GCAAAAAGTTTTTTTGGGAGGGGGGGGCACTCCAAGATTTTGGAAAGTGGTCAAGAGCTGCACTTTTCTGTGGAACAGGTGCAGGGTCTAGGATGGAGGCTGGTTGTCAGCCACATGTGCCTAATCAAAGTGGGAAAATCATAATGTCAAACAAAGCATTTGTTTGTGTTAGCTTTAGCTTCCACTTTATTTCACATAAACTTTGCTACATATCTCTGTTCACTATAAACTTTTCCACAGCAGTCATTCCATAGTCATTTTCCATCAGAGCAGTCATTCAGAATTCATTCTTGACCTAAGTATCTCTCAGCCTTCAGCACACACAAAACAGGCTGGGCTCCCTGCCTGCTGCAGCCCCAGACCACTTGAAAATACAGGCTGTTCCCTCCATGTGGGTGGGGGAAGAGACTTGCCCTGCCCCCCTCTCCCAGGCCAATCTCAGTTCCAATTGGTTGGTGGTTTCTGGCCAATAGAAGCTGAGCATTGGGCTGGGGGCAGGGAGATCACGCAAAGCTTCCCTCCTCCCTGCAGAGAGAGGAACATAGGGACTGCACTTTGAACTGCAGCAGCTGTGTGCCAGAGGGTCCCAGCAGGGTGGTCCGTGGGCTGCATCGGGTAGGCAGGCCGCATCTGGCCCCTGAGCTGTATTTTCCCCAGCCCTGCCCTACAGGGAGTGAACAGAACAAGGCATCATCAAGTGATCCCTCTCCTGTCATCCATTTCCAGCCGCTGACAAACAGAGGCTAGGGACACAATTCCTACCTATCCTGGCTAGTAGCCATTGATGGACCAAACCTCCATGAATCTATCTAGCTCTTTATTGAACCCTGCTAAAGCCCTGGTCTTCACAACATCCTCTGGCAAGGAGTTCCACAGGTTGACGGTGTCACTCAGGCACTGCTGAAAACGTCCCTCCAAGTGTCTGTTGCTTCAATGGGCTCATGTACATTTCTCCAGATTTCCCGATGCTCACAGATTAGTAGCAGCCTTGTGAGGTCCCGTTAAGTGTCATCCAGTCGCAAGAGAAACACAGGAAGAGCACAAGAAGCTTCCCATGGAGCACTGAGGCCGCCTTGCTGGTTTTTGCCATGGTGGGAATAGACTCGAGTGTTCACAAAGCAACGACCTCCCACCGCTCTCCACAGACCATCCTGCTAAAGTTTACTTCCCCAGTTGTCACCCAATGACTTGGTCTCGCTCCCTTGCTCGGATGCCTTGTGATCCCCAGCCAGAGATGCCTGGCAGCGTTTAACAGAGCGCCTACGGGGGGAACTCCTTGTGCACCGAATGCTTGGAGACCGGCTCCCCCTTGCGCGCTTTGCCCGGCCGCTCGGGCGAGCGTTCCCGCGCCGCCGCCGGCCCCCAGAGCTTCTCCCCCACGTGGATGCGCTGATGTCCCACCAGGTGCTGCTTGCGGGTGAAGCTCTTCCGGCACTCGGGGCACTGGTAGGGCCGCTCGCCCGTGTGCAGGCGCCGGTGGGTCAGGAGATGCTCCTTCCGCATGAAGGTTTTCCCACATTCGGTGCAGCCGTAGGGCCTCTCCCCGGTGTGGATCATCTGGTGCCTAATGAAGTTGGAGTGGTGGTTGAAACCCCTCCCGCATTCGCTGCAGATATACAAGCCCCGGCTCTTCCCGGCATGACTCCGCTGGTGTAGCATGAGGTTGATCTTTAGCCGGAAGCTCTTCTGGCACTCCGCGCAGGTGTGCGGCCGGTCCCCGGCATGGGACAGCTGGTGCCTGCTGAGGCTCGACTTGTGAGAGAAGCTCTGCTCGCACTCGGGGCAGCTATAGAGTCTCTCCCCCGGCGGGCTCCGCGGGCAGGGCTGGAGAGGGTGGCTCTGCTCGAAGCGCTCCCTGCCCTCGGGAGGCGCCTGGGCCCTGTCGTGGATCCGCTGGTGCAGCACGCATTGCTGCTCGTAGAGGAAGCTTTTCCCGCATTCGGAACAGATGTACGGCGCCTCGCCGGGAAGGCTCTCCTCCTGGACGATGATCGTGGTGAAGTTCCCGAAGTCTCTGTCCCCCATAGCCAACCCCTCCAGGCTGGTCCCATCGGGATATTTCCCCGGGATGCTGACGCCGTCCTGATCGTCACAGATCGGCTCCTGGCAGGAGGACTGGTCTTCGGGGCGCCTGGGCACCGTGGCGTACAGCTCCAGGCTCACCGGGATTCCCTCCTCGGCTTCAATTCCAACCTCGTCGGCTGCCGGAATCAGAGGGGAAACCAAAAGTTATTCCAGTTTCTACCCTTTGTCCATCCACCCCCCGCTTCTCAGCGTCCTGCCATCTTCTGCTGGAGAAAGTTGCCTCCCTGACTTCCTGTCCTCTAAAACCTTCTCCGCAGGGAGACAGTGACCGGGGATGCAAGGTACACTCCAAGTACCTCCTGCCAGCCAAGAGGGGCACTGAGCTAAGAGGCTCAGAGAGCATCCATGTGACATAAAAAGAAAAACCAATTCTGCTCCAACCTGCCATCCCCAGAGCCTCAAAAGAGAGGGCTGGATTAGGGGTGTTAAATATCGGTTAATTGAATAGTCGATTAACCTCATGAATTCTTATCGGTTAGTCAACTATTCTATAGTCCCCAGGAGTAGGGCCGACAGTCCGTGCGCTCCAGCCCCACCCCCGAGGAGTCCCCTGCCACTCCACACTGCTGCATCTGTATCAGAGGCAGCAGCTTGGGGTGCCAGAGGAGAGCTGGTCAGTGAGGGGAGACAGTTTAAAAACCCGCTCCCCTCGCAGACCGGCTGCCTGTCACCCCCTGCTGCTGACTCTGATACAGAGGCAGCAGTCCCTGTCCAGGGAAGGGGCTGAGCTCCTGGACCTGGCACAAGCTGGAACTAAGCTGGGCTGCCTGCCTGCCTGGCTCCTAATACACTTCTAATGCAGAGCTGCAGCAGGGTAGGGTCCTGGACTGAGCTGGGCTGCCGGCCAGCCTGCAAAAAAATTTACTGTCAGGTCGGGGTGTGTGTGGGGGAAGGGAATGCATGTAGTTTATAGCATTAACCTATCAGCTTTTGCTTATCGGTTAATCGACTACACTATTACACCCCTAGGCTGGATAGAAATTTAACAGCAGGTTGAACAGACATCTGTTAGGGATGATCTAGACCCGTGTTTCTCAACCTTTTTTTTTAATAAAGTATCCTGTTTAAAAAAAATTATAAGTACCCCCAGTACCTACAGTTTTCAGACACACCAAATTTTTTCTACGATTGCAACACATTTGTTTAAACTACTTAATTGTAGCTGGGCAGGCGATGAAATTTTTGGGTGTCAAAAGTACAAAACTAAGAAAGCGCTGTAAAACTTAAAACAAAAATTAGTTTTCTCCAAATTTCAGGTGTGTTGACGTACCCCCCCGACTCCTCTCAGTATCCCTAAAGGTACTTGTTCCACTGGTTGAGAAACACTGATCTAGATGATGCTTGGTTATGCTGGAAGGGCAGGGGACTGGACTTATGACCCTTCAAGGTTCCTTTCAGTCCTCGTGTTCTATGATTCTCAGTCACGCAGGCCCGGTGGGAAGCTGCCAGGCAGGCCTGGGCAGGGGAGATGGGAAGGGATGCCAAGAGGTATCCCTTCACAGACAGACTCCGGTTCCACTCACTGTCTGAGTCATTCCAGCTGCTCGCTCACCTGGGCGGGGCTCTGTCGAGAACGCTCTCTCCTCTGACTCCCACTGGCCCCCGACGTCCTGCTTCTCTTGTTTGACCCAAGGGCCCGCGTCATGCGGAAGGCTCCGCGGCTCTGTATGCGAGAGGAGAGACAGACGCTGTGCTCAGGCTGCGCCTAGGCACTCATGCGATCCTGCGAGCCAGCGTTTACACAGGGCACTCTGGGCGGCACGCAGAGAGCAGATGGAAAGGGGCCGCCTGGGCTTGGGACGGCAGTGCGGGGAGAGAAGAGGGTTTTTTGCTCACGTTGGTCCTTGATTCTTATGCCAATAGAGAAGGGAGGCGTGCGAGAGCCTGGCTGGATTGCACGGCCCTTCGCACGCATCGGAAGCACTGAGCGAGCGCTCTCTGGCCAAGCCTTTCCAAAGCAATTCCTCGCTCGGGGCAGCTCCGTTTGGGGGTGCCTGACCTAAGGCCTGATTTTCAGAGAGCGGTTTGCTTGGCATTTGCTGAAAAAACAAACCAGACCCATGTTGGGCACCCAACGTCACTCCGACAAACCTTGGCCGGCGGGCACAGGGAGTGGGGGAAGCGGCAGTAGCAGGCTCAGCCCGTACCATCCTCTGTGTCTGCTGAAATGTGGCTCTACCTTCCTCACGCCTCCAGTACCAACCTCCCTGTGCTGCCTGTCCTAGTTCTTGGCTCTCAGTTCCGGGGAGCTGAGCCTGCTCTGCTCCAGAGAAGGACATGCCTTTTCCTGGCTTCTTTTCCATCTCCAACCCCCGCATGGCTCTCTCCATCCTGGCTGGCTGAAGTCAGAGCAAACGGCTTTTCATCCCATCAACTCTATTGCGTCACTCACAGTGCTCTCTGGGGCACCCTACTTGCCACAGCTGGGGGCAGCTCTTGTATAATAACGGCCACCCTGTAACCTGTCTCCTAACAGTGGCCAATCCTAGGAGCCCCAGAGGGAGTGAACAGAACAGGGAATCATCGTGTGACCCCTGTCACCTACTCCCAGCTTCTGGCAAACAGATCCTACGGACACTTCAGAATGTGATTTTTGCATCTCTGCCCATCCTTGCTAATAGCCACTTATCTATCCAGGAAATGATCTAGTTCTTTTTTCAACCCTGTTATAATCTTGGCCTTCACAAAATGCTCTGGCAAGGAGTTCCACAGGTTGACTGTGGGCTGCGTGAAGAAAAACTTCCTTTGGTTTGTTTTAAACCTGCTACCTAGTCATTTCATTTGGTGACCCGCTAAAGCTCGTGTGATGGGAAGGAATAAATAACACTTCCTTACTTAGTTTCTCCACATCAGTCATGATTTTATAGACCTCAATCAGTTCCCTGCTTACTCGTCTCTTTTCCACATTGAAAAGTTCCAGTTTTATTACTCTCTCCTGGCACTGTCCCTTCTTCCCTCTCTATGGGGCACTATTGTATACCCTATTTATACAGCCTGGCTTACGCCAACGGGAGCATCCTCACACCAAACGTTTAGCCTCAAAATGCCTCGGTGCGGTAGGGAAATGCATTTTCCAGACAGGGCACACAGACACCGAGGTCACACGGAAAGCCAACGGCAGAGAGGTCCCAGCCTAGCGTCATGACCTCCACTCCTACATTTGGCAGCAGTGCACCAAATGCCACGCCATGCAACTCACCTGAGCTGGGCTCCATCGGGATCTCTCTCTCTTCAGCGTTCTCCTGCTCCCCTCCCCACGGCTCCTCCCCCCGTTCGATCCGGGACAGAAGGTCTGGTTTGGAGATGGCGTAGTCTGTTCATGCGAGAGGACAGGAAGGAGGAGGAGAGTTATTCCTGTTTTCCTGACAGCCAGGCAAGAGATTTTAAACCAGTCTGGGAATGACAAACAGGGACAGGGGGGGTTCTCTATCCCTAGAGGGGGCTAAGTCCCAGCTTGCCAAAGTCCTGGCTGGGAGGATTGAGTTGGGGTTGGTCCTGCTTTGGGCAGGGGGCTGGACTCGAGGACTCCTGAAGTCTCTGCCCGCCCTGGGAGTCTATGATTCTAAGGAGAAACTTCTCCCTCCACCCTTGTGCGGAGATTCACGGTCGAATGCTCTGGCAGGCAGCAGCAGCTTCTGGAAGGGGAGGGGGTTGCTGAGAGGGAGGGGCTGGCAGATCCCACTCCTGAAGTCAAACGTGCAACGGCACAACAGAATACAGCCGTAGGAACTGCTGGCTCCCTGTTTCTTGACAATCAATCAGTCCATCAATCCCTCCCGCCTTTCCACGGAGCTTTTAGCCCTTCCGGTGGGTAGCACCAGATGCTGAGACACACTTGGACATACGGTCCGTAAGTGGAGAGAGAGGGCACCACCCGCCTAGCGGCAGGAAGATCCCGGCGCGTTGGCAATGCACGGCAGCCGGGAGAGTCACGGCAGCGGCTCTGCCCGCGAGGCAGCAGGCCACGGAGGCTGAACCTAGACAACGACATGGGACTGCTCCCCAGAGCTGGGGATGTTAAGAGCTGTGCACTAAGTTATTAATCGATAAGGGTTGGCACGGCAAGGGATAGAATAGTGTAGTCGATTAACTGATAAGCAAACGCTTATCGGTTAATACTATAGACTACACGCATTCCCCTCCTTGCCAGTAAATTTGTTAGCAGGCTGGCCAGCAGCCTGGCTCAGTCCTGGCTTGTGCCAGGTCCGGGACCTACCCCTGCTGCGGCTCTGCATTTAAAGTGTATTAAGAGCCAGGCGGGCAGGCAGCCAGGTTCAGTTCCGGCGTGTGCCAGGTCCAGGAGCGCAGACACCCGCCCCCAGACAGGGGTTGCTGCTGCACAGCACTGCTGCCTCCTTATCAGAGGCAGCAGCGCAGGGCGACAGGCAGCTGGTCTGTGAGGGGAGCTGGTCTCTGGCACCCCAGAGACACGGAGGCAGCAGCGCAGGGTGGCAGGGGGCTCCTTGGAAGTGGGGCCGGAGCGCATTGGCTGCGGACCCCGCCCCCAGGGGTCTATAGAATAGTCGACTAACCGATAAGAATTCATGGTTAATCGACTATTCAATAACCGATATTTGACATCCCGACTGCAAGCACTCACTCCCGGCTTGGGCCAGGTCCGGCCCCTGCTGCGGCTTGGCAAGGAAAGGATTACTGCAGAGCCGCAGCGGGGGTAGCTCCCGGGATTGAGCCCGGCTGCTGGCCAGCCCTCTAAAACGCACTAGCAGAGCTGGGGGGTGGGAAATGCATGTAGTCGGGAGCACTAACCGAGAAGCGTCCGCTTCTCGGTTAACTGTTTAACCGATGGCACTATTCCGTCCCCACTCAGCGCTGCAGATCAGTCCTTCTCGGGGACCGGAAGGGACCGATGGGGTGCAAAGGGAAGGCCCTATTTCTGCGATGTGACACACGTCCAGTACAACGCTGAGACCACCCGCCCGGACTGTCCGTTTACGGCGGCCAGCCTCGGCTTCCGAGGACCCAGCCATAGAGACGTGAATGGCTGCGTGTCCTGCTACGGCCGTTTCGTGCCACGCGGCTTCCTCGGAGAGCCAAGGGATTTGAGACTGGCCCAGAACCAACCCATCTACGTCCGGGGGCCAGACACTCTACCCGCTGGGTGAGAACGGATCCGTACCCAGCGAGATCAATGACTCGTAGTTGCCTTTCATCACATTCTTGTAAAGATCCTTCTGCCAATCGTCCAGATTCCCCCACTCCTGCTCGGAGAAGTAGACGGAGACGTCGTCGAACGTCACAGGCACCTGAAAGCACAAGGGTTAGCTGTTTCCATCCCTTCCCTGCGCTGCAAAAAACCCAACTCTATGGTCACAGGCCAATATTCTTGGAACTGGGCTTTGCCCTTTGCTTGGTCCTACTTTGGGCAGGGGGCAGGACTCGATGTCTCCTGAGGTCTCTTCCAGCCCTGGGATTCGATGAGCCTTCCCTCTATTTTTTTATCCAAGTAGCAATGCCAGCAACAACCATGCTAGATGAATAGCTTCAATACGAATACAAAACACTAAATTCAATGCTTGATTTGTATGAAGGCCGTGCATAGAGGGGCCCCATCCTCCAACTCTTCAGTCACACAAGAAGCCACATGACCTCAGGGGGACCGTCCCCCCACTTTGTTGGAGTGTACGAAATTGGGTGAAATTCTTATGATTCAATCTAAAAAATTATGAGCAAGTTTATGCAGCAAAATGAGTCCTTTGTTAACCGACAGCGCTTACTGTGGCTGGTCCTCTTGGCCCCTGCTGGTCAGGGTACCATGAATCCTAAGGTATGTCACACAGCCTCCTTACCTGAAATTTGTTTTAAATATACATCAGCAGCTTTTTAAATAGATACAATTATTTTAAATACACCTCTAGGCCTTTCTTGCCTCTTCACTGCTCCGACACCTTGTTGTGTTTTTCTCACTAAAGATAGATTAAAAAGAGCAATTCAGCACTTTGGCCATTTTAGACTCCTGATCATTTATCAATTTTTTTTCTCCCCGGATACATTTGCAAGAGGCCTTCTGAGTGCCACACAAATCCAGCTGCCCGGGGAAGCTAAGATGGAGCAGAAGCCAAATAACGTGGCAAGCCAGGACGGAAGCAGCCAACGAGCAGTGCAGGAAAATCACACCCTACAACGGGCATTCAAATAAAAGCACCAACGCTACAGAAGAGGTCTCTTTTCTCTTCTGTTCCCGTCAGCGTCTGATCCGGCTTCAACGCTTTATAGCGCCCCCCTCGACACCGGCCGGGACAGGGTTACCTTGGGGACTTCTCCCTTAGTGCCTGGGGGCAGCCTCAGGATCCAGAAGTTCCTGTTCTTCAGCAGGTTCTCCATGTTCTCCAGGCGCCGCTGCAGCAGCCCGTACTCCTGGATCAGCGTCCCCAGCACGGCCAACTGGTTACTAAACTCCGTCATTCCTTTCTCCGCGTCAGATATTTTCTTCTCCGCTGTGCCGGTCCTCCCCTCCAGACTCAGTAACTGGGAGGCATGGGAATCCACCCTCCTCTCCAGGGCTTGAATGGCAGCCACTACTGTCCACAGGGAGATCTCGGCCGTTTGCAGCTGGGTTCCTCCTACAGCCGTTCGCCTGGGGTCAACGTGGGGCTGCCAAGGAGCCGAGCGAGGGGACTCCATGTCCCATTGCTGCACCTGCATGCAAGGACAGAAAGTGAGAGCTGAGGTCTCAAGCCAACTTAGGAAAGCCTTCTCCGGCCCCTGTCTGTAGGAGAGCATTGTACCCATTTAACTAGATCCATTTAGAAACAGCCGCCCCCCATGCAGGCACTCCGACATCAGTGCAAAAGTGTCTTATAGCCACGTAGCTGCAGTCACTTCCTGACAGATAAAGGATGGGTAGATCTGCCAAAGTCAGAGCATCTGAGACTTCAATGTTTGAACCAGGGGTTTGCCCAGGGATGAGCAGTAAGCGACCTTCAGGCTGGATACGGTTTGCCAGGGCTCGCCCCCGGTTGGACTGCCAGACGCTTTATTTACCTGCACATCTGCAGGGACGGCTGCTCACTGCGCCCATTGGCCGCGGTGCGCTGTTCCTAGCCAATGGGAGCTGCGCAAAGCGACATGGGCTGGGCCACTCTGGTATCGGGCCTGCCGGCCACCTACTGCTCACCCCTGGCTTTGCCTGGTCCTCGCTCTTTTTAAATCAGGGGGACAGCTGTGCCGCTAGGGAATCCCTGGGGCGGTTTTCCAGCTGCGCGTGGGAGTACGCCCACATCTTTTCTGGGGGCTCCGGAAAAAGCGCTGAGGTCGCATTGCCCTCTTAAGCGGGGGTGTCCAATGGCGCATCCGCAGCACAGAAAACTCCCAGGTCTGGTGGCTGTGTGTGTGGGGGGGAAGGTTTGCAGGGGGTGGATCATATCTCCATAGATTGGAGGGGGGCACTTGCCCCTTGAATCCCAGGGGC